TGTTTTTTTGCATTTTGTATTTTGTAATCATCAAACTATGTGCAATATGTGCTATATGTGCAATATATACATTATTATATACATATGCCATTAATAACTGTAATATATACCTGGCTGCTAAATCCTAAGAACTGTTACAGGATTTGTATTTTGAAAAGTATTTTTTTTATTTTTTTATTTTTTTTAATATCTTTTATTATATCATAACTTAGTACTTTTTTAACATATGTAACATTAAGCTGTCTGTGGCTCTTTCCTGCTGTAACGATGCAAATGTCCCCTCTGTGGGACTAATAAAGGTATTCTGATTCTGATTCATAATACAACAGTGCACAGATAATAATAATACTCACTTTTCATTCAATGAAATTGTTTATTTTTTTAAATAAAGCTATTATTCTTTTGACTTGTAAATGACCTTTCTCCTAAATTCTTTAAATGTCATTTAGAAATCTTCATACGTCATTTTTTTAAGTTTCAAGGCTTTTATTGTAATGTGTGCATACAGTGTAGTTATGACAATGCAAATCTTAGGTCACAGGCTCCTCCAACAGTGCAACACAATAAAACAGATACAATAGTACAAGTAAATAAAATAGAATATAATAGAAACAGAATATGATAGAAACTGTGCAGAATAGTCTAGAGTAATTGGAATATTGATATATATGATTTATGTGAGTTGCAAACGGATGAATGTTCTTTCAAGAGTTCATTGTTAATCACTGGGACATTTAGATTCAAAGCAATTCAAAATCTATATTTTTGAATGTGGTGCAAAACAACAATAGAGAGTATTTACATACAAGTGTTTTTTATAAATGTTTACATGGAAGTTAATCTAACAAATATTGGAAACAAAACAGTAAAAGGCCCATTTCAATTACTTTCCTTACACGTTATGATGTCCTTATGCTTTTTATTAGTCTCCCTAGCAGCAATGATAGTCCAAATGAAACCTAAACAATCGCTGAAAAAAAGCTAAAAGGGATTTAAAACTTATTAATATTTTAGTCATATCTTGAATGAACCCAAAAGCCACAGGAAAAAGATAAACACATTTAAAAACTGTCAAAACTATAATGACAATACAGCTATGCGACAATATTGATTGAGGAGTATATAAAGCACGGAAAAAGTGAATCCCAAAGGATTTCGCTCTGTCCCTTGTGTAGCTTTTTATGTTACAGGCAAATTCATGTCAGCCCAGTGGTACCACTGCACAGTTATTCTGGCACACAGAGAGCGATCAACTGGAACCACAGCTGCCCGACGCAAAAGAGTGTGACAGACGGATAGAAGACACCGTCTGCACCTCCAATGTGCTTTTATTATTTCAGCATACACAGACCTTAGTGCAGTTACTGTTTAAAGTGATGAAGATTACCACAATACAAAAATAAAATCAACAATGATGACCATAATGATGATTATTATGAAGACGATGACAGATTTGTTGAGTGGCTCGCTCAACCCTTTTCTTTCTTTCCCAGGACCTTGAAGGTCACGTTACTGTAAAACCTTCATAATGTTTGTGTTTCAGTCTAAGAAGGAAATGACTGAGGGAATGTAAAAGTTGCTGACCCTGAGAGAGAGAGAGAGGGAGAGAGAGAGAGAGAGAGAGAGAGAGAGAGAGAGAGAGAGAGAGAGAGAGAGAGAGAGAGAGAGAGAGAGAGAGAGAGAGAGAGAGAGAGAGAGAGAGAGAGAGCACAGGGGAGCACGGGTGAGAGTTAGATTTAGGAAGGAAGCTTGCGAGCTCTTGGAGAGGAAAGTTACCACGATGACGACTTGTGCGTTGGTCATCGGTGACACAGGTGGGCTCTGATGTCATTACAGAAAAGCTGCAAGTTTAATGATGAGAGATATTCTGTTTTTGCACAATGTTGTTACACACAAATATATTTATGTATATGGTCAGAAGGGCTGAAACTATTATCATTTTTGTTTTCTTGATTAAGGCAATAAATTACTTTGTTTAGTCATAGAATTGTGAGAAATGGCCATTATAATCTCATATTTAATGCGTGTTTTATACAGCAAACAATACAAAATAAATATAAAGACATTAAGTGTATTATCATAGAGTGGAAAAACATCAAACCCTCACATTTAAAAGCCAAAACAAACTAATTATTGGCATTTTTCCCTGTGTTTCAAATTCAGAATAAAAGTACAAATGTGCGCTTTTATAATCCTGTTACAAAAACACATTATTAAAAAGGGATTCATAGCAAGTAATCAAGATGTAAAAAAAACCATTGATAGCACATTTAATTATATATATTTTAGGGGATTCCCAAAGGACTCCTCTCGGCATTGTCTCTGTATGAACACTCACTCTGTCTGTGAAGAAGCCTGTGTACCATTGTCTCTTTATTATATTTACGGTGCAGTTTTCTTGGAACCAGACCAGATTTCTTCAAAGTCTGGGACTGACCAGTCTAGTGTGATGTCTGGGTGCGTGCACATGCATGTAGGTGTGTGTGTGTTGTAAAAAGTGTGTGCGTGGTATTGGTGGTGGAGGGGGAGGAGGGGTGGTGGAGGTTCCTTATCTACAGGCCACAGGCTGCTTTGAGGCTCTTATCAGCAGCCGCCACATTGTACGAGCACATCCTCTTGTCCAGCAGGGAGCGGAAAACTCTCCTTGCAACATGGTTCCCTCCCCCCCACCTCTCTCCCCTTCTCTCTCGGCCCCTCCTTACACTTGCCAGTCCAGTACCTGAGCTCTCCGACTGGCAACCAGCTTGAGCATTGTTTCTTCTGGGCAAAGAGAGTAAGAAGGGGAAGGGAGAGAAAGGACAGAGAGAGAGAGAGAGAGAGAGAGAGAGAGAGAGTGAGAGAGAGAGAGAGAGAGAGAGAGGAGAGAGAGAGAAGAGCAGAGAGAGAGAGAGAGGAGAGAGAGAGAGAGAGAGAGAGAGAGAGAGAGAGAGGGAGGGTGGGGAAAGACAGATGGACGGGGGTGGCGGAGAACACCTCCACGCTTTATGTTCAAACTTCACAACAAAGAAATATGAGCGTTTGGACGTTCAAAATCTGACTTGTGATTATTCGGGAAGTTTATATATATATATATCATTTTACATTTTTAAAGAGCGATTCACATGAGTAAGAGGAGTGTTTTGACGGGTGTCAGACCGCTCTGACCTCAGAATCTGACGGACAGACAGTGACAGGCTGCAGTGTGAGCGACCTGAAGGAGGAGGGCGTTAAACGCTGAGACGATACAACATGTGCGTTCACAGATCACTTGAACGGATTTTGCATGACAGACAGACTTGATGTCATAATGTATATGTGAGTACGTACTTTTTCTTACCCGTTTTTTATTTTTATTTCTGTTTTTATGTATTTTGTTATGCATGTATGGTTTGCAGATTCAACATTATTTTAAAGTGAATAAATAATAAAAATAACAAAATTGCATCTGATTGGAGTATGTGCCATATGTCATAAACAAAATTACATTGTAGTAAAATTGTTTCTGTTGATAACCGGTAATAAAATAAGATTATTTATCATTTATTATAAATGTAATATTAGTCATGTCTGATGCTTTGTTACATTGCATTTTAGTGTAGCTGAATTATTTACAACCAATCTTAGTGGAAATATAACACCAGTAATTAAGCATTTGGCTTAACAAAACTTCAAAATAATTTCTTTTTAAATAAAGATAATCTTTTTTAAATATTGCTGGATAATTAATATATTATTTGACAACTTGTCTAGACATTTGAATGGACCTGATTACAGGCTTAACTAAATACCAATTGCTATATCGTGTATGATATAACAAACACTACTTTATAATACTTTAATTAAAATGCATACATTAATTATTTCAAAAAAATTGTGCGTCTCATTCTTTCTGCAGAAAAAACAATATACAGCTGAAATCATTTCAATCTGTAACTTTCTGTGTGGCTTCTCTAATAATTATTCTACCAGGGTATTCATGACATTAAAAATACCATTGCTGCAAAACAAGTTGACAAAACCTGCGAGTGGCATATGGACATCATTGTGAAAGACGGAACTGTTCAAAATAAAGTCATGACAACTAAAAAAGACAAAAGAGGAACACTTAAAATTGCAAAACCTGAGAAATCATTAGAGCATTACGCTTCGCAGAGCAGAGTAAAAACAAACATCTCCCTTGTTGAAGAGGTAGAGAACTACTGTGCAATCACTTGATATTGTGGATTTGATCACCCATCACAGCTTTAGTTTGTTAAATCTTGTTATGAATCAAAACTAGCTTTAAACTGTTGACTACAGAAACCAACACCAACAAATACTATCCTGACAGTTGTATGAAAGCTCTTTTGGTGCTCTTCTGCAAATGATGACCTTCAAGCTCATTTTCAAATGCACCAAATATATATCCTGAGTGTGTTTTTCTTTTGTTTACCAGACTCTTTGATATCAATCCAATCTTTGGGGGTCTGGGATGTTTTTAAGGCTTAAAAGGATTTGGACTCACATCCTCAAAAAACACTGACAGACAGATATAGGGACTCGTGCTGCTGGAGAGTCATTAAATACCTTGAATCTGCCGCTCAGGATTTACTGAGAAAATAATCCACTCCAATTCAGACCACATCAACCACCCCGGCTCGACGCTGCACCCAGAGACACTACCTCAGAAGAATCCCTCCATTAAAAGGACTGCAGCATTTGCTTCAGTGGCACCCTCTGTAATGTTAAAGTGAAGGCATTAATACAAGCTCACGTTTACTCACACACAGCCAGCAGGTGCATGAATGATGGGTAATAAGGCTGGGTGAGAGGGCAGCTGCAGCTCCATTCAAGGCAAATATAATCGACTCTGACAGACAGCAGATGGATTTCAGGTCTGCCAGAGAAAGATCTACCTTTCTAGTGAGGTAGAGCAGCTAAATATTATAATATTATCTGCTTAAAGTGTAACAAAGACATATAAAGTAAAGACACATAGGGGAGGTTTAAGTTCTCTGTAGGACAAGCTGCAGGTTGTACACATGATTATCACACATAAGATACACTGTGCTGAAAGGGATTCTTCCAGAGACTTCAGCACCATGATGGAGAAGATGAACACCACCGGCCCACCGGCCTCACCGCCCGACCTGCCTCGCCGCCCCTCCTCTTCCTCCTCCTCCGCCGCCTCCTCTCCATCCTGTGTCTCCGTAGAGCAGCACAGTCCCCTCCAGCAGACTTTAGCCCCCTCGAGTGCTAACAAGAACGGGCACACGGGACACACGGATGTCCCCTCTTCCGGCTCCATTCACGCGCCCATTTCCACAACAACATTAACTAGTCGCCCTGCAGATACAGCTGCTGCACCTGAGCCCATCGTCATGGAGACCGAGGAGAAGGAGGAGGAGGAGGAAGAGGAGGAGGAGGAGGAGGAGGAGGAGGAGGAGGAGGAGGAGGAGGAGGAGGAGGAGGGAGGAGGAGGAGGAGAAGCGACGAAGGCCAAAGAGCACCACAGCCCCTGCCATTTCGACCAACAGGTCTCCAACTCTGTCCTCCCCACCTCCACTTCTCCCGGCACCTTTCAAGACCTCCTCGGGCCCTCTACCACCTCCAACCTCCACCGTGTCCTCCATTTCCTCCTCCTCATCCTCACCTCTTCCTCCACACATTCCAGTCATCAGCCTTGGTCACAGCAAACCCCCTCTCCCTCTCCCAAATACCCCTTTGACGGCCCTCCACCCGATTCCCAACCTCCTACATAGGCCACATGGGGACCTTCGCCGCAGTCAGCTGACCTGTTCTTCTGGGGGCCCTTCAGCCCCCTCCCCAGGGCCCTTGCTGCCTCAGCAGTACCTCTCTGCACACCCCTTCTTCGCCAGGTGAGAAATGGCTTGAATAGATGAATCCATATGAAACCATTTTGCTTAATGGAAATGTTTTTCAGGTGGTTTCATTTGAATCATTTTTGAGAATTAAAGAAGCAAAGCTTTCTTTAAGAAAAAAAAGGTGAAAAATAAGAACATCTACTTTTTTTTCATGTCTTTGTTAACAGTTAACATTTAGATGTTATCCTCTTCTTATATCCATCTCTCTGGAACCAAGGTTGGGAACCACAGCATTAGAAGATAGCACTGATATCAACATCCACATGTAATAAGGAGAATGTGTATTAAATAATCTTGTAAGTGGAAATGTCAGTTTAATGACTAGTTGAATAATTCTCCTCCTATGCCTGAACTATGAAATATAGTTAAATGTAACTCAAAATCATGCAGTTTATTAAATAAAAGACAGTATGTCCACTGCTAATTCACCTCCATTGTATCTAGCATGCAAACAGATGTGGAGCTCTTAACCATCAAATAAAATATACTTTCCTGAGATGTTACCTGATACTGTTACTATGATGATGCTGCGTCGTAACAATTTTCTGTTTCATATGAAACCTCAACTGCCTGAATTTCATGACTTCCCATTGTGATTAATTGTGGCTTTGCTGCACAGTTATGCAAAGCTGACAGCAGGATGTGTGCTGTTATAAAGGGACCGAACATTTCTCACGCTTAACTTGCTCATCAGGATATTTGGTCAGTGAACAAAAGTTGCATCCTCAACGTTTTTTGTGTCCATTTAGCGCCCAAATCTGAAAATACAATGCTTGGAGTTCTACATCTACATTTGCTGTAAGTCAATGTAGAAATTGAATCAACAAAAGGCTAACTGAAGTTTTAGATTTCTTTATGGCCAAACATTATCAAAGCCCTCCGACCATTCATCTTTTCACCACTAAAAAACGATTTTCCTCAGTTTCTTTCTGTAACAAAGCAACATCAGTAATGTAGAAAGTGGGACTTTGTTCTACATCTAAGGTCTCACCATCTGTCATGGGGTCTGGGAATAAGATCCTCTCCTTACTTTTTCTCTTATCTGTTTGTAGCAAGAAGCATTGATTCATTTCCTCCCCCTGAAGTAGAATCAGCTAGTGACCATACTTAATGAGGCTGGGATAAAACTCTGCATGCACACTCAATCAACGCCACCAACATAATCACAGCGCAATGGCTTCCAACATCTTTTATATTTCTCTATCCTTTCTTTTAACGAGAAGGGACGCTGGATCGACTTCATATTGTAAACCTTTTCTATATTCAGTTGCACTTGGTAGTGAATGCAGTTTCAACAATGTCACATGTTGCTGTGTTTTTATCTCTAGCTCTTACCTGGGTCCCTCAGGAGGAAATTATGGGATCATCAATAACAGCCGGATCAAGCGAAGACCCTCGTCACACTATGAGGTGGAGATCAATGACTGTGAGTTTCTGTGTGACCAAAGAGATAATCAGACATCAGTATTGATTCAGCCAGTCTCTGTTTGTGAATCTATACATGTGTGAAATTGTATTGCTGCTCACATCATGAAGAAGGTTAATCACCAATGTATCTAAAATAAAACGTTGCCGATATTCTGGATTTTCCTTGTTATCAACAAATCTTGTAAAAAAAACAACAATGGCAATAAGGTCCAGCCCCTCCTCTCTAGCCTACTACTGAAGACAAGACAGTTGCATTTGTTTGGGGACTATTTTCAGCGGTCGAATAATTCACATTTGGTACAGTAGTTAGTTACAGGATATACATGATTGACTTAAAAATGACCAAAAGGCCTAAATTCATGGAAACAATTTAAGATCTTGCCGTGTGACATTTTGTCTTATCAATGTGTTTTTATAGTTTTTGGACAACTGAGATATATCAGGGTTTGGCTACACAATACTTGTTAGTAAGATATTTTCATTGTTAGTTTTGCAATTTCTGTTGTGATTTGTTGATAATAATCATAATAATAATAATAATAAGTATTAACTTCTATTTATATCCTTTAAGGCCCTGCACACTCAGACAGTGATTATGTGTGTCTAACAGGCCCGCCCCAGAAGATGGCTCGCCGTGTCTTCACCAACAGCCGCGAGCGCTGGCGACAGCAGAACGTGAACGGGGCGTTCTCTGAGCTGAGGAAACTCATTCCCACACATCCGCCTGACAAGAAGCTCAGCAAGAATGAAATCCTGCGTCTGGCTGTGAAGTACATCAACTTCTTGGTCACTCTGCTCAACGACCAGGCGCAGGACAAGAGCAGAGACTCAACTGATGATGAGGACGAGAGCACCGTGGCAGACCATAATAAACAGAACATAATTTTTCAGTGCAACACCCCTCCTCCGTCCAACGATGCCCCGCCGCCGTCGGCCCGCCTCGGGACCGTCCACAGAGACAGAGACTCAACAGACTCAGTCATCGCCATGGTTAACTCCCCAGCAACATCCAGTTGCTATGGCGACACGGACAGTGAGGAAAGCTTTGGGGCTAAGACTTCTTTGGTGACCCATGGCATTCTGGGAAAGGTCAAGGGTCAGATAAGGATGGTGGCAGCCACAAACGATGAGCGGTGACGCCAAAATACAGCCAACAAAGAGGTGTGAATGTTAGACTGATGGACACAATCATCGTCGGACACAAAAAGGGTTTGAGGAGCAAGCGTGACTCTCTTTAATCAGTGAAATAAGTGGGAGATGGATATTTTAAGACATTTTTGTTGTTTCAACTGCCTTTATGTCTTTTCCAGGGTTGTGCAAACATTGTGTGTGTGTTTTGGGAAAATACTGCTGTGGGGCTGGTTGAGGGGCATGAAACATCAATGAGTATTTAAACAGACTTTAAAAGGTTTCATATCCAAATAAGGTCCCAATTTGTCAAACAATGAGGCTCCATACCATATATGAATTATGCAAAACACTGTGATGGAAATATATATTGTCTGATTTTAATTCCTACATGGTAACAAAAATAATAATCTTTTCTCAGATAAAGAATTTAGGTTGAAAACCAGATCTTTTGTTTTCTTAGTCTAAATGCTGCCTTGGTAACATTTATATAATTAGCATTGCCCCAGTAGATTTAAAGTGACTTAAGAGTGCCACATACTCTTATGTGCCTGCAGAGATGTACATGCGAACAATGCAATAATGAACCAAATTTGTCGTTTGGATGTTCCTGCTTTTCTTATTGTCGGAGATGGTTCCACCCCAACATTGTGAAACACTTGTACCAGACAGAAATAAAGTGTGTTTTAGATAGCTGTTCCTTATTTGACATCCTCTTATTGCATTACAAAGACTGCTCTGTGTCAGCAAGATTTCTCAACATTACAAATGTTTTTCCCATGTTTGTCAAAAGGTTTTGGGAACATTTGCGTATCCTCAAAGAGTTCAGCACAATTAAATCTCAGTTGCTATTGGGTTGGGTTCTGAAATAAACAAGTGTAAACGTGAATGCTCATTTTTAAACAATAACGTGTAATATTTGTCAGCACATGTTACACAATAAGGGCTGAATAGTCAGGGGCAAACTCCTTGTTTGTTTGTGCTTTTCACCATAATGACAGATTCATTACAGTACTTTCAACAAGGTAGCCATACAAATCTTTTTAAATGGTTTTACTATAGAGCCCTGAAAATAATAAAAAACACAATTCTTTAATTGTTGTCTTAAGCAGTGCTGGAGTTTTACATTTTAGATAAGTAGAATATGCTAAGTACATTTGCCTATTTACATTCCACCATATTTGATGTGTTTGTGCATCAGTGTGTGTGTGTGTGTGTGTGTGTGCAAGCAATAAAGTTGCAGAATAATTTTGCAACAGCAACAATTATAGGAGTGCGGTTGTGTGAGGAAGGTCAGTGTGGATGTGGGATGCGGTTAGAGATTGGGTTCAGCTTGATGGTGGTGGTGGTAGTGTGGGGGGTTGCATAAGTTTGGGGGTGAGGTGCAGCTGTGCAGTGGCGCTCGGCTCAACCAAATGGCCCGGAAAGGCCTACAGTTAGTGCTGTCTCATTGACGGCCAACGAGTTTCCTGGAGGAGGGGTGGTGGCTGAGTTTGCGTACGTCTGTTTTGATGGGTGTTGTACGTGTGGGGTGGCAAACATTGCATGGGAGAAGAAACACACAAAAAAACAGCTACCAGGATGCTCTGGGAACCCCTGCACACCCGGTTTCAGGGTCACACAACAGGATGAGCTGCTTTCACAACACTGCTACAGCTGCCTCTGCCCGTGCCAGGCTGGTCTGCCTCGTCCCGCTGCATTGTGAAACCACAGAGGATTTCAGAGTGAGGCAGGGGTCACACATTATAAAGGGGTACTGCCATATTCTGCAATTGCACACACTTGTTTTCTTTTTATCATGGTCTAATTATCTAGAGGATAAACCAACAATAAACTATTTAAATAAAATACATTTGTATCATCATGGCAGGACATGCACAGGTTTGATAACATAAAAATGACTGCAATCCATTTAGTTGAGCCATGGTTGGTATTGTGGCTGCTGGCTGTCTGGCATTGCTTACTTGGACACCAATTAGTAGTGATGTTACGTATTGCGCCGAGGCTTTGGAGCGTGTGTCGAGTCATCCCCGAAGCTTTTTGTGAAGCTTGTATCGAGCCTGCCCCTCAATACCACTGCTTCAGAAAGTGCTTTAGATCGGTTGAACCACAACGCTCATAATACCCATGGATGTATAATAAGAACGATATTACCCTTCCTGTACCCGGGCCCGGTGACATGATGGAATTAAGTCGGAACATGTCATAAGTATAAATAAATAAAAGCATAAATAAATGTAGGAATAAACACATAAATAAATAAATACAGGAATAAATAGTATCCAGTTGTTTCAGATAAATTCAGTGTGTGTGTTGTGTCTCAGCTGGAAAAGCAGTTGACTCACATCCGCAGGGTCCCTGGTTCAACGACTGGTCAATATGTCTTTTTGTTTGTTTATAAAAGCTACAGCTAAATGTGTCTAGTTAATAAATGTAGTCTTTGATATGGTTTAGCCTTTCTCAGGCTACAACATGGTTAAGTTTACGAATATTATTAAGGAATACAAATCCCTCTTTGCAATGTTTACCAGCCTCCTAAGGCTTTTCAATCACAATCATTAAACTGTAATAAATACAATATTGTTAACATGAAGATATGATTTAATGTTTGTTGTTTAGAGTTATTCTAAGGCTTTACTCATTGGGAACTCGGTATGAGATACAGCACACTGTTGAGATGTCCAATCTGCCTGTTTTACACACTTTGACCAACAGGAGGGTTTGTGTTCAACTGAAGCCCATGATGAAGCCTCATGAGATGAACCCTTTTGCGAACCAATTGGCTGGAAAGCTTCATAAGGCTTCATCTCGCCATCCCTACCAATTAGCCATTGTTTACAAAATGTGTATCACCTGTGACTTTCCTGCTATGACATGTCTAGATCTCTGCTATGGAAAAAAGAGTATTAAGGTCCATAAAAAAACCGTTGCATCTGTATTCAATTAATGCTGAATTGTCTACTGGACATTTGTAATTCATCATAAACAAAAGCCAATGTAGCCTACTGAGTAGCATTAGCTCAAGCTAGCTCGCAACACAGGCACATGCCTCCGTTTGCTTTATATCTCAAATGTACAGAAGGATTACAACTTACCAGTTATGCAAGTTAATTAATTGAGCTTTTCTCGTTTCCCCCCTTGTCCTCATACAGGTCAATTGTGGAACCTTGTGATTATAGGCCTTTTTCACAGCAAACATATCATTTGTCAAAGTAGCAAAAGGTGTTTCTAATCGCATCGAACCTGCTTAAACGGATTTTATGGGGCCACTTGGTGGCAGCAAAAACAAGTTGTCAATATAACATGTATACATTACATATGAATATGGCGGATTTGATAACTGTTTTTCCAGCAGTGTACAGAGCATCATAAACATTAATTTGTCATGAGTCCTGTTTCTGAACACATTTTAAGTTGGCTAATATAATATTCATTTGTTTACTTCCTTGTGGTCTCCACCAATGTATCTATCACTAAATGCGCCATTTGTTGCTAACTGTATACATTTGGACTTAAATGGATAAGTGTACACTGGATTTCCAAAGTTTAAAAAAGAAAACTAAACAGCTGTTTGCATTAAATCTGCAGTGCACACAGAGTTTGTATCTTTATGGTTTATTGCACTTATTTGAAGTCGCTTTGGGTAAAAGCGTGAGCTAAATTAAATGTAATGTTAAGCTAAACAAAGAGTTGAAGATTATAATAAAGCTTTATAAAGCAGCAGAGCATCAAATGTTGGTGCAAACTCTTTGAAGAGTTACTTCGTTTGTTGAACCCATGTTTTCACATCTTCATTTGATACATTGAATTATTCTACTTTATCCCATCGGTATAAATAATTGTCTCTAAAATAAGCTTTTTGGCCTGGTAACACCTTGAGCGTTCCAGCTTTATTTATGTAAGATCACTTGTCCTTTTATATTGATGTTTCTTTCTTTTTTTTAAATCTGCAGTTCAAATAATTACAATGACACAAATAAAGACAGAGTTCAAATTAAATCATTTTAAAGTTTATTCTTTCACATATTTTGACACATATTGACAAAGCATGCAAGAAAAGCACCTAAATACTTATCATGTGCACTAACATTATCCTTTTAGCAGTTATTTTTGTCCAAATCATGTATAATGCTAGAACATCATTTAGTGTGAATCACATTTACCCTTTAAAGAAAAGTCACATTAATCTTCATTCATTAAGTGCTGGAATGAAACTTAAGCTTAATATATATTTTTCATTTGTTACATGTAATATATACACAAGGATCCATTCAGCCTTCATTCAGTTTTCAATACTTTCTCGCCTTGTTTTACCAGAGAATCTATGCTGTTGTTCACTGTTCTCTTCGCATTTTGTGCAGCTTCATCTGTCTTTTCTAACGTGCTTTTATTGCCAAATTTGCGTCTGACCACCTCACTAACCCCAGCTCCAGCTGCTGCCCCGACAGCTCCGCCAATAACACGCCCCAAAAACACACCGAGCACCAGACCCAGCAATGCGCCCACTATGACCATCACAGGCACCTGTTTAGCAGTTTTCCCAATTTTCTCCCATACTGAGCTCTCTGCCACCATTTTGACACCGGCTTTCGCCCCAGAGCCCACCTTCCCCCACACTGGACTCTGTGCCACCTTCTTTGCACCGACACCGAATCGAGCTCCAACTAGCGCCGAGCTTTCAGCCATCAGTTTAGCTCCAGATCCTACTTTTCCCCACATCGGACTCTTCGCCAAACTTTTTGCCCCGGTTCCAATCCCACTCCCCATTTGTTTGGCCCCTGCACCAACTTTCTCCCACATTGGACTAGCTGCTGCTGCTTTTGCTCCAGATCCCACCCATGCAGAACCGTCCACCACTACCTTGGGAACTCTATATCCTATAAGCTTGGACACATGTCCAGCACCAGCTCCTACCTTATCCCACATAGAGCTATCAGCCACCATCTTCTGGACATTTAGTGCTCTAGTGCCGACTGTCCCCCACGCCGGACTAGCTTTCACCTTCTTTGCTCCCTCACCGACCCACTCAGAGCTATCTGCAAACAGTTTGGGTAACAGCTTTGCATTAGACCCCATTGTTTCCATAATGGAGTGGAGGAGTGAAGGGGAGATGGTGGAAAGCGTGATAGGAGGAAGGCTCTCAATATTCATTGAGCTCACATTTAACTCTGCCTCATCCCTTGTTTTCTCAATCTCATCCTCTCTCACTTCTTCATCTGCCTCGGCCACAGGCTGCATGTAGGAATAAAGCACCTGCCCTTCAGAGTTCAGCTGTCCTTCTGGCTCTAGTTTTCCCCTCCTTCTCTCCTTTGCTAATTCAACCTGTCGCTGCCTCACTCTGTTCTCCGCCTCCTGAAAAGCAGGATGGGAATAGCACTGTCCTCCACTTTCCCTGACTGTCTGCTCCACCTTCTCCAGCAGCTCTGCAACATTTCTGCTGTCCCTCCCACCTCCTCCCGTCTCCATCACGTGAAACCTGTCCCCGCATTTCTCCACAAGCTTCAACAAATCCTCCCGCTGACCAGCGATGTATGTCTCGACGCTGCTATTTCCTGCCTTCCCGCTCTCCTTCAGTTTATCTGCGTAAGTAAAGAGAAGCACAGTGTGTCTCTGGATGGCGTCTGGGCCGAAAATATTCTCGAGGGCCTCGATAGCCTTCAGCTCGGTCTTTGCAGGCAGGTCTAAGGGGACACACAGCAGGAAGGCATGGGGACCGGGACTGGACAAAGCAACACAGGAAGAGATCTGTGCTCGCACCTCATCTGGACTCTGCTCTGAGTTGAACCAGTCTGGGGTGTCCACCAGCGCCACCTGCAGGAGAGAGGAGAGTTGGAAATAAGCCCAATTAAATGTTTTGAATGAAACAAAATAGAAAATGTCAAAGGTTAGATTTGGGAGCAATGCCACATGGATGGGATGAGTGATAGGAACATTAAAACATTCAAGCAAATCTTCTCAATCTTAATAACTAACCTGTCTTCCTTCAACCAGTGCCTTCTTTTTCTCACACTGCTGAGTGATTGCTGTGAGGCTTTCGGGGCGCGACTCAAACTCCTGTCTCCCCAGTATTTTGTTGCCAGCTGCACTCTTGCCGGCTCCAGATCGCCCGAGCAGCACCAGACGCAGCTCTCGAGAGGATGAGGGCAATGAGGAGGATGAGGGCAATGAGGTGGGAGAGGAGGCAAAGGTTGGTGAGGAGGGGGAAGAGGCGAAGACGGATGCAGGAGTAGAGAAGGTCGGGGATTCCTCAGGAGATCTTTCTTCAAAGCTGTTAATCCTTTGGTGAACTGAAAACATTCAGATTACATTTGGAATTAAATATGGTTGGTTAAAATTACAATAATTATTTTAATATCCAACATCATAGGAGTGCAGTTTTAAGTGACATAATGCGACACAGTGAGGTCTTGTCACTCACAAGTAGTGACCACTTTCGGAGTTGATTTAACCTCAGACACTTGTGAGAGTATAGCTCCATCTACAGAGGAAAAACAGTAAATATGAGTCCTTTTCGTGCTCACATCCTTTTTTCTTCCTCTTTTTCTTTAACATGATATCGATATGTACTGTAGAAAATATGTGGGAATAAAAATGTATACATTTACCTGCATTTAGTCTGAAACTGGGCGTCCTCCTCTGTCTGTCATCCTGCGGCTCTGAATATGGCTGGTGCTCTGGTGCTGGAGTTGAATGAAGCCTGTTCGATCTTTGGCTCACAGTCACACTTCTGTCCATCTCATCCCTCTCTTCTCTCCTCCTCCTCTCCAAGGCGATGCTGTGCTCCTCTCCTCGGTCGACACTCCTCCGAGTTTCTGTGTTTGGGCTCTGCGTTGAAACAACGGTCTCTCTTCTCTCCTCCCTTTGAGCTCTGTAAAGTTCTTGCTTTCTGTCTTGCACTCGTTTCTCCATCTCGCTCTCCTGGTCTGTTTTCATGTAGTATACCCCATTTTTTGTCACAATTTGTTCCACCTGTTACATAAACAAATTGGAAATACATTTAGAAAATGTCCACAAACTCACAACTAATACTCACATTACAGAGTTACATTTTATAATTCTCAGTTTTATCCATTGTGCAATTAATTCCCATGTCTGTCAAAGTTACGACATAGTCAGCCTTATTATTAGTACTGTCTCGACTACACCTCGGTGTGAAAGTATGAGTGTGAAACAGGGCGTTGCTGGGAAAACCATGCAGGCACAGACAGTCCCTTCTCCGTCAACACAAATAAAACAAAGAGCTTTACCACGTGCAGTATGCAAAAAACTGAATTTCCCTGTGAAGATTTAAAACAGAAAAGATGTGTTGCACCTCATTTCAGGGGTTTTCTAATACACTCAAACTAGACTTGTGAGGCTAAAAATGGTAAGAAAACTACCATAGTCAGTAGAAATACAGAAGTATTTGATTCCTATAATATGTGGCTGTTCCTGTATTAGTGCTGGCAGAATAACATGTTTTGAAGTTAACTGAAACGGTGTGAATCTCTACTCTTGATGTTGTTTTGTTAATCGTATCTCTGTGACGTCTCACCTTCTCCAGCAGCTCGCAGACCTGCTCCCTGTTCTGTCGCTTACGATTATTGATGACATGGTACCTCCCCCCACAGTCCTCGATTATCTGCCTGAGGCCTGGGTGTTCTTTCTGCAGGTATTCCTGTAAAACAAATTAAGATTTGCAATCGGTAGATTAATCCACGTTGTACACAGTGAAGGGTGAAGATCTACTGCAAGGATGTCTAAAGGAGAGGCAGAAGTTCCAGCTGTTCTAAGTATTTAAACAAAACCATGTGTCATCATTTAAAATGTGTTTACAAAAGCTTCCCTGAAAAGTTTAGAGGGATCATTTTGTTAATCTTTTACAAGACTGGCAACCTCATTAAAAAATGTACAGGTACAAACATGTATACGTGTTTTAAAAATACCAAAAGGAATAGGACTTGAAAAGTATATATCAACACACCACAGAGCAGTGGTGAAAGAAGTACTCAGATATCTAACTTAAAAACAAGTAGTAATACCAAAATATAAAAATACTCTGAAAGCACAGCATTTAAAATCTTACTTAAAAGTAGAAATTACTTGAAGAATTAAAAGATGTCCCATTTGAGAAAAACATATATTATTATCACTGATTATAGTTCATTCGTTACTGTAATGTTGAATTGCTATAAGTAACATTAATACTAAATTAAATAAAGTGAACAACTGAAATACCTGCTCTGTTTTTCCCATCAAGTAGTCCCCACAGGTCAGCAGGACCAGAGTGTGTTCCATCACCTCCGCCCCAAACAACTCTTTCAGCTCTGCAGGCACACAACTCTCCATCTGGGAACAGCAGGGAAAGATAAAAGAAAAGAACATAAACAAGCATGTCTTTTACTTTTAAAACTACCAAAAAGATGACATTGATAACTGCATTGCTAATGAGAAAGTGAAAGCAGAGACAACCAACCTCTGTGAACTGGTGAACCGGCACCAGCAGCAGAAAAGCATGCGGGCCGGATGCTAATAGCGACATCGCTCTGGCCGTCTCCTGCCTGACGCTCTCCTCCATCTTTTCGCCGTTCCAGTACCATCTCGGCGCCTCCACCAGAGTCACAGTCCTGCCCTCAGACGTGCCCTTCCGCACCTGGCAGGTCCGCGAGGCACTGGGCAAGATGTGGGACAGCTGACCCAGGATGGTGTCAGCTGAAGACGTCTTTCCACATCCAATGTTTCCCAATAGAACAAGTCTCAGCTCTGGGGAAGAGGACATGTAGCTCCTTCTCAAGTGTTCACTCATGGCTGGAAAAAGAGAGGAGAAGAGGTCAAATGTGCCATATCGATGTAAAGATTACTGTTAGTATTATTTGGTACAAAGCTACAATCCTATAGCAAAGGTGTGTTGTGGTAGTGTGTGTTCACAAATGTGGCTTTTGCCAAAATGCTTGTCTTTTTTCTAAAGAGGAAACCATTTTAACCGTATGCAAATAAAACAAAAAAACCATAATCAGACAGGTTGGGTAGGATGTAGATAATCTGATCTGGCATCCTATGTGGACGGGATGAGTCACTGTTCTAAAAAGAATGCTGACTTTCATTTAGTTTCCTTGAAGCATCACATTTCTCTCTTACATATTTACTCATGCTCTCCTGTTGCGCATTAATTATCAGGAACAAGGAAACTTGAGTTTTGGGGTTTTTTACTCAAGCTTTCATTTCACTGTTTTTCTTTTCCAAATTGCATTTATTTTTAGCTCAGATACACCACACCTTGCCAATCCTGTCAAACTACATTCTACCTGGACCTTTATCTGTGGACTGAGAAGCAAATACAAATCATATCAGCTTACAAACGCACACAATGATGAGGATTGCACTGTAAACCATGGAAACTTCACTATGACAACACACATTAATGCAGTATAACATCAACAGCACTGTACATATTAAGCACTAAATTCAAACTTGTAATTCAACTTATAGTGAAGGTAAACAGCCTAAAAAGCTGTTTGTCTATTCAAACACTGACAGCCATTTGCATAATCACTAATAATCTATATTTTGCTATTTCAGTTTAAGCTTTTAATATTCATAAAACTAGTAGTCAGTTTAGTAAACAGATGTATTATTTAAACAATAACAAACATACTTACTCAATCGTCTGAGGAGTTTCAAGCTGTGTTCATGTATCGTCTTCTCTGTGAGCTCCGTTTGTTCAGTATCGTCACTGAATAATGTCTCTCATCCATACAGATTCAGGACATGTCGACATCAAGCTGACAACTCAAATCTGCCTACGCAGGTGAAATGTGCAGTCTCTGGGAGGAACCTGTCTGACCACTCCCAATTTTTAACACATGCACATGAACACATGAACACACTCATAAGTATATTTTCTTCATGTACAACAGGTTTCTTTGTCTGCAGGCGGCTTAGCATACCAAGTTGGGGCAGAGGATATGTGAATCATTCTACCTTAGTTTTATCTGCCACACCTATGTACCAGCATGTCCTTCAGGTGTTAGTCGTTAAGGTAAATACCTGCTAATATATGCCTGTACATATTATGAGATGCTGCTGTTGTCAGGACTGAGGGCATGTCACAGGCAAACATGACAAGTTGACAACGCATTAAAGTCAGAGTAAATCAACAAGTAACTCAGTCTGCTTGTCTAAGGTGTCATTATAGACAGATCTCACCCATACATGTAGATAGAGCCAATTATAAAACTGTCTTACAATAACATTTTCATATGCCATTACTTTAAAAGGTGGGGTAAGTTTGAGAAACCGGCTCGAGATACACTTGTTGTTATATTCCATGGAATGCTCTTAACATCCCGATAGCAATGAATATCTTAAGTGCTTTGACAAAACATCCATACAAAAATGTCACCTGTGGAAGCCGTAGCGTTGTAAAAAGCACGACCAATCATTTTAGCCGGCCCGGCTAAAATAACTGGATGGCCTACCTGCCTGTCAGCCTTCCATCTGTGCACAAACTTATCTCGTGCCCTCATTGGTCATGTGCGCGTTCGTGTGTTGGAGGAGGGGCTCTGTAAGGAAGTGGCTGATTTTTTCCGGCTGTGTATTTTCAAATTCTAGCACACTCGAGCTGGTTTCTCCAAAATTACCTACCCCACCTTTAACACCACTGTTCATTAACATAACAATGACATCACTCTCTAGGCACATACTGCATTTAGTTTGTGATTTGTTATTTGGGAATGTTGCAGTATGCAAAGTTTCGGTGAACATTTCGCACTTTTTCCAACTTTTATATTCGAGTAGAAATCAAACAACATTTATCAGAATGTATAGTCAACCTATGTGGCGCCTGATCAACTGATTTGAATTATGTGTCAAAAGGTTGCTTCTATGAAAAATAAAACATTCAAATATTATCTTCATACACATCTTTTAATTGAACAAACAAAGTTAGTTTGCATATTCGTAATGAAAGGAACAATTGTTTAACACTGAAAACAAATGGTCTTAGCCCATTAGCGCATTGAGTGTAATAGCATATTAGAACATGCTGCTATAGTGTGTTCTTCATTGTCCCTCACAACCCGGGCATCAAATAGGCAATGTTTTCCAGAGTGGAAGCCTTAGAAAAAATAATGAAAACCAATGTCTCATTTTCACTCATGTACATAAATATAGTGTACAGTATGTGTGCACTGTTAAGGGGCTGCATCTCTCACCAGTGTGTGTTGGGTGCAGCTCCTCAGCTCCGGTATCTGTGCGCTGAGGCAGATCAGAGGAGCCAGGGCACACAGCAGAGAGTCCAAGAGCAGAGATAAGCTACTCGACATGCTCACCAATTTCTACATAGAGAAAAAGAAAAACAATTATGGTCCTTTGATGCAGCTTTGTGAAACCTACCCTTTGTGATTTTGTAGTCCGTTTATGTGTGAACAAATTAATGACACACACACTAGAGAATCATGTTTGTTACAAAAATAAAATTCTAAGATTGCATTCTCAACATTATTTATATAATGTTTATTTTTAGAAACCACAATAACAGAAACAAAGATATTCAGAGACTGCTCAAACTATAAACATATGTCATTTCATTTTGGCCTGCAGCTTACGTTTCTATTGTATGTAGATTAAATGTTGTATAAATGAACAACTAGTATGCATGTGCAACACAAACTATTTTGTTATAATGTACTCAAGTTAAAAGGACCATGTGGGACTCACAACCAATCAGTATTATTTTAATATTTTGGTATATGTTTCTGCTCCAGCAAACATATGGTCACACATGTTTGTAACAACAACATAACCAATTGAAAGTGAGTTGTATCCACTAATCTTTGCTGCTTGTAGAACATGCAACACAGTAGGTGCATGAGGCAGCACTTCAGTAATGTTAAATCACTCTATAAAAGCATCCCAGACCAGGATTTAATAGAAAAATATGTTTTTTCTAAACTGAATCTACTCACATTTGTCTCCTGAAGATGGAGTCCAATCAGGGACAAGGACTCTCCCAACAGGTGTAGGTGAGCTGCAGCGCTGACAGGATCCTGGTCCGAGCAGCCAGGGCTCCTGGAAGTGGATCTGAGAGAGTCCCAGGCTGAACTGGTGGGACTGCACATGGAACTGCTGGGACTACAGGTGTCAGTAACAGGGCTGGAAACCATAGGATTAACAACGGAGCTCACTTTAGGAGCGATGGCTGTTACTGGACTGAGAGCAGATATGACGGGGCGAGGCCTGTGGGTTACTGGAGCGATTGTCCTGCTTACAGGACAGAGCGCCCTGTGGTGCTGGTTATCTGGGTACACCCAGTACTCCAACAGGGAGATGGGACTTGCCTGGGAAAAACAGAAACTTAGAAATAAACATAAAGGATAATGACATGATCAACACTGCCCTCTGCTGTGCAGCATGAATGCAACAACTTGGATATTCTGGAATAGAACAAATTGTGAAATGTATTTAATGTCATCTGTTCTCTCACCTCTTCTCCTCTTTTCTCCCAGCGGTCTCCTGACATACAGACTGGATAAGCAGGGAGGAAGCCAGAGGACTCTGCTTCAAGAAGTTCCGGCTCAACTCTACTATTACCTGCAATATGTCAAGTATTTATGCAATAAGATTTTACTATGATCATCTGATAGGAAAAAGTGTTTTAAGTCTAAATCTGCTCACCATTTATCACTGAAACATACTGTATCATAGCTGCGAGGGATTTAACAGAGTTAACACAGAAATACTCTCTTTTGAAATCAACACAGTTGACACAAGGGGAATGCACAAAGCACCTTACCAGAGTGTTTGCATATCTTGTTTATCAAGCCTCCTGGTTCCTGTAAAAGTTGAATAATTAAGCTATCACACAAGAATAATTAATAAATAGGCACAACATACAGAAATAAAAAAGGGATAACTTTTTAATCATTCATATATTTAATTAATTTTGTGCATTATAAAAGATAACCGTTTCAAAGTGTGTACAAAAAAGCATTAAAACAAGCAGCCACAAAGAGTTCAGAGTTAAAAATTAAGGACAAATCTTGGACATTGCATTCAAACAAAGCAAGAACTAGGCTATTGATGCAAACACATCAACAACATATGCCAAGAGACTGTTTCAGAATATATTACAGGCACTATTTGTCACATCCCTAATCATAACATAACATACATTTTTTTAAACTTTCTTCTAACTACCAACCAAGCCCCAGAGTTTACCTCGTGAAGCTTCTTGTTGCTTGATTCCTCAAAATCCAAATATTGTTCCTCCATTTCCTCCACATCAATCTTCAAGTCTTTGTAGGATCGTTTATCCGCTCTCTGGCTGCCTCCACTCATTGGGCTTGCTTCTCCATCCATCTGCACATACATGAGAGGGAACAGCAGTGTACAAGAGCAGTAATATTAAAGTTGAGTTGGGTCTCCAGTTGTGATTGAAAGAAGAATTAAGTGTTACTTGAAAAATAATTAACTCAGCATGAGTAAAATAAGTGTGTTTTTGCTAAAAGAAGGGCACTGCACTTGGCAAGTGAATGAATCATTAACATTAAGCTATATTCATGTGACTTGATAAGTGTATGGCAGTGGTGTAAAGTAACTAAGTAAATGTACTCAAGTAATGTTATCAAGTACAATTTCGAGATACTAGTTACACTTGAGTATATGAATATTTTTGCTACTTCGTTCTTCTACCCACTACAATTCAGAGGTAAATAGTGTACTTTTACGCCACCATTCTTTTATACCTTTAGTTTTTTTGCAGATGTGGATTAATGATATGAAAACACTTCTTTTTTTTTTAAACAAGACTTCACTAACACCTTGAATAAATCCACAAGCTACCCTATACAAAGTCATTAAAACTACCTGCACATTTACTAGCTGTGATAAAAGCATTATTGCATCAATAATTATAATCCAAACATATAAAATATTTAATTGTAAAATTGACCAATCAGCATATTAACTACTTTTACCTTTGGTAGGCTACTTTAATTATATTTTGATGGTAAATAGTTTGTTCTTTTACTCAAGTAAGATTTTGAATGCAGTACTGTTGCTAGTGACAGAGAATGCCTACACTCTGGTTGATCTACTTTACTTAAGTAGTCTACAAGATATGAGTACTTCCTCCACCTCTGATCTATAGTCATGCCATGCCATGAGCAAAGTAGAGGAGAATGGCTAGCTGATGCTACTGATTTGTGGTACCACGGAGTTGCTAGTGTAGAAAACAAGCAACAATAACTGTTGAAGTCACGGGTCTGCTCCGACCCAAATATCACTATTTCCAACATGTTGAGTAAGTATTTAAACAAATAAAAACACACGGATAAATGGTGTTCAACGCCTTGTTTAAAATCTGTTGTCGACGTTTCCAGGTTTAAGTTAACGACAGCTAAAAGCTAAGGTTATTTCGGGAGACTGCTGGTGTATGATAAAGTTGGTTGACTAAAACGAGCTAACATGTAGCTAACAATTTAAAGCAAAACCTTGAATTTGGGCTATATTTTTCCGTCGATAGTCCCGGTGTGACTAATTGACTCAACTCCAAGTAGGTCAAAGCTCCGAACACAAGCAGGAACACATCTGATGACTCACGTTTAGTACATCACCCGCTCTTCTGCTGATTCATGTTAACCCTTGTGTGGTGTTCGGGTCAAATTGACCCTTCTATGGGATTAGTTTTGTATCATAAAGATAAAGCAACACTTTATCAGAATAAAGCAAAACTATGAGTTTAAAAGAAAAAAAAAACTGAGTCAAGCAAAATAAAATACAAAAATAAAACTATAAGTTGCAAACAAATCATTTGTGTAATCATGTAAATTACAAGTATTTTTTCTTTGTTTTAACATAGGTTTTTGTTTGCAGTTCTTGTTTGTTCTTTCTCAATGATCAGACTTTTGCTCTCGCTGCAGCTTTCTCTTTTGCGCTCCCTGATTTTTTGTTTGAGATTCTGACACAAACCTCCCAGGGGGGCGGGACTTTCCGGGGTGCGTCCCCATTGGCTACTCAGTTTTTGAGTGACAGCCCAGTCCTCCAACGATTGTACAGTGCAGGAAGCTGCGGTGCGGTAGCTGAGCGTGGATGGAACACCCCCAGAAGAACCAGCATTTCAATTATTATAATACTACAAGTGAAAATATATGCAAGTATTGATCATTTGTGTTGTTTGTGCTGTACTATACGGTCTGTTTCTTTATTGTGGTAAGTGAGAAGTAAAGCTGTGCTATGAAAGTTAGCTTTTGCTACCTTAGATCCATAACAATGCAAGCTAATGGCGCGTTTCCACTGCAGCGGGTAACTCGCTTTAAAGCGTGCCGAGCCGTGCGGGGCCCGTTTTTGATTGCGTTTCCACTTGGCCTAGTACCGGCTAGCGGGTCCTAATTCACAGTTTTTCTGGCCCCATAAAATCGTGGTTCTAGGGCCAGGAACAACCAGGCTGAGTCGGGCTGAGTATGTTAAACTAGAGAGAATCGCTGGCAAGGGAGCTACAACTACAACAAGATAAACATATTTGACCGTGATTTAATTGTAATACACGTTTCAAAATGATGCCGAAGTAACAACATACTGATACCGGTTAGTAAAAACCATGAATTAATGCTTTGACAAGTCTGCAGACAGACGGCAGGCGAAAAACCCTTTAAAATGCGTGTTTTCTAAATGGAGCTTGGCTAAGCTAACGTTATATATGCTCCGACCGTCCACACTCACAACAACGGCCTATACAGACATAAATAAACCAGCGACTGTATTCGCCATGACACAGGCAGTCTGTGGTTTGTACTTGTTTAACTTTTGTCTAGTTTCTGAACAGATATGAAGAGCTCTGAGTGCTAAGAGCTAACGGCTGTGTTGTTTTTCTGGGGCTCTCACTGAAGATGACGTCACGGCTCCGCCTACACTACGTTACTATAGTAACTACCCCAGTTCCTAAACTGTAATGGAAGTGCAGCATTAAAGTGAGCCGGGCCTAATAAGGCCTAACCAAACCGAGCGAGGCCTGCAGTGGAAACGCGCCATAAGTAGCCTCGGCCCGTCTACACTACAGGCATCGAAAAATGCTTTCAACGCTTCGCCCATTCACTTGAATGGGGTGACGTAGAAGATTTTGAATCTTCGCCGAACTGCATTGTGGGGAGCGGAGCATGGCTTTGCAAGCATCGTGAGCATCAAAAGTTGAGCAATGTTCAACTTTTGATGCTCCCGATGCTTTCGAAGCTGGCATCAGCCAATCAAATCCCGTTTATGCAAACCCCGCCAGTACAAGCGCTAGCCAATCAAACCGCGTGTATGCTGGGACGCAGGTCATTTCCTCATATTCAAAAAAATGGAGGGAAAATTCATTATAGCGGTAGTGAATCACCCGGTGCTGTATGATCAGTCTCTGTTCATCTACCGGGATACAAACCGGAGGAGCAAGGCATGGAGGGAGGTGGCAGAGACAGTGGATGAAACTGGTAGGTTTTCGCCTGTTTGGGGATTGTATATCCAGTTTACTTCGTTTTAACATTGCTATTGCAGGAGATTCCTGATTGGTTGTTGGTCGCCTTGGGCGCGAGAAATCGCCAAGCCTCAGACACGCCCAGCTTCAAGATTTTGTTATGCCTGTAGTGTAGACGGGCCGTTAGCTACATAGCTAGCAGTGAGTGAGCGTTCAGACACCTGCGCACACACTTAAACGGACTCGTGTGCCTGACTCTACCAACAGGCTTTCATGATTCTGTTTAGATATGCAAGTATAAGCCATGATAGTTTATTTTATTAACACGCTAATTTGATATGAAAATCAATGGAGGCTGACTTAACTTTGTAGGAAAACCTACCGTCCATGACTGCCCCTGAGCTGTGTTTTATTTGTTAACTTCATATTTTTCATTTCCTAAAACATTTATTTTCCTCTCATATTAACAGTGTGGATCATTGAGACTGCGTGGCGTCCAGAGTCTTATCCCGTTTTCCCACTTCCTCTGAGGGGACAGCACGGAGGGGGGGCATGAAGAAAGACCTGCACCATCTTCATCCACGCTGGGCGTTGTTGTTATCACTGGCTCAGTGTCATTTCATTTGACCAAATGCCTTTACATATACATTTAATTATTATCCACCTTTTTGTTTTATGTCCTTTTATTTAAAACGTTCTTTGAGACTTCATCTTCTGGTTCAAATTTCAATAAATATAATTTGTATAATCACTCTTTTGTCTTTATTCTACATGAAAATGTTAGAGATTCCATTCAAATCTGTTGATTATTCAGATCTTCCTCAGGAATAGTATGTCGAATTTGTAATGCTAAATGTATATCATTTTCTCACAGGATATAGAATGAGACAACACCGTTGTTATCCATTGTGTATGAATGCTTCAGCTCTTCAGACCAACATAGTAAGATGTGAGCATGTTCCTAATTGTGTTGGTATGCAACCTAGGTCTGGTCTGTTTAATAAAGCAAATCTGCCACTTTTATATTGTAGAATTTGTTAAATTAAAGCAGTCTTTAATTGTTTGTCCTAAACAGCAATATATGCTTTTGAAATGTAACATGTGTTTGAAAAAATAATAGTATACAGTTTATATTGTGCATCACCTTTAGCTTGAAAATACATAGATGTGTTTTTTTAATCTATAAAATAAATAAACAGACAGACACTTTATCAATCCCAAATTGGGAAATTATTTTTACAGCAGCAGTGTGTTCAGGTATTAAAATATTTAAAGTTGGAACAAAGTATAAACTACACATCACAAGTATAATGCACAGCAATCCATAAAATAAGTCCGATATGGTCATGAAACTCCCCAGGAGGCACCGACACTACGTGGCCGAGTGGACTCCGGAGTTTGCTGCATGAGTTGCACTGTATGATATGTGGTGTAGTGGGCTGTCACTCAAAAACTGAGTAACCAATGGGGACACACTCCTGAAAGTCCCGCCCACCTGGGATGTTTGTGTCAAAATCTCAAACAAAAAATGAGGGAGCGCAAAAGAGAAAGCTGCAGCGAGAGCAAAAGTCTGATCATTGAGAAAGAAGAAACAAGAACTGCAAACACAAACCTATGTTAAAACAAAGAAAACATACTCATAGTTTACATGATTACACACATGATTTGTTTGCAATTTATAGTTTTATTTTGAAATTTATTTTATTTTGCTTGACTTCGTTTTTTTTTTTCTTTTAAACTCATAGTTTTGCTTTATTCTGATAAAGTGTTGCTTTATCTTTATGATACAAAACTAATCCCATATATTTCCATTTTCAATGAATAAAAAAAAATATAAGGATATTTTCGTTCAACCTGAAACTCAATGGCCGGGGCTTATTTATTGTGAAGGACATGTGGAATTGTTTTAATTTTGTTCCACTTGTGAAAAAATGCCCACCCCCATTCATGTCCTTCATAAGAGGTTCGGGTCAATCTGACCCGGATACAATACCAGGACAGACAGACAGAGAAAAACACACAGAAACACACAAACTAAAGACACACACACACACATACATACATACACACACACACACACACACACACACACACACACACACACACACACACACACACACACACACACACACACACACACACACACACACACACACACACACACACACACACACACACACACACACACACACACACACACACACACACACACAATCGTATGCACAGGGAAGCTGTTTGATCCTGTTTTCCCTTGATCTACCCTTTGTAGTGTGTACACAAAACTATCCTAGAACATTATAAACATTTTAGATCTTCCAGAAATGTATAAACATTTTAAAATGTTCTCGCACTGTCCCCCTCGCACCTGCACGCCGGAGGAGGGACTAAACAGAGACATAACCTCACATTACAGTGTAGTGCAGAACTACAATTATCTACCAGCAAAATGGCCAAAAGATATTCTGCTCAGAGCCTTGGAGCTAATAATGGATGAGAGTGAGTGGAATGCATTAGAAGAACACGGTGAAGTGGAACAGGAAGACATTTCTGAAGATGAGGATAATGTGGAGGTAAACTCAGAATTTGACAGCAAATTGGAAGATGAACTTGACTCAGAGCCAGCTGCTGGAAGACCCCCACAGCCAGCCGCTGAAGGACCCCCACAGCCAGCCGCAAGAAGACCCCCACAGTCAGCTTCTGGAAGACCCCCAGGTCTGTGGACCCTCAAAGGACTCAAAGACACAGACTACATGCAGCAACTGCAACAAGTACATCTGTGCTATACACACGAAGAAGTTCTGTACATCATGTGTTTCCTAAACGGTCTTGCCCATTGACTCACATGATGTTCTGCAGCGTCACTTCATCAATATATTACTGTATTTTACGAATAGTGACTGTTAATTGTTTTTATTTGCTTTGTGTTTATATCTGTTCTATGTAATTTATATGGATGTTTCATTCCCTCTATATTTCACAGCCAAATACTTTTGGATGTGGTTCTTGTGTTCCAATTGCTGATAAATTGCTTTATTTCCTTCAGGGCTTTGATTATTATATGACAGATTAAAAATAATAAACATTAATGAAAAAATTGTTCATTTACATTTGTCCTAGAAAAGCATGAGCAAAATGTAAACTTAGTTTTTATTACAGTGTATTTTTTTTAACATAAATTAAATTGTTATCACAAAAAACGATGGACACTTCCATTGTTACATTTGATCCAGCAAAGAGTATTATCAAAAACTAATCATATATTTCATTTATATTGTTGGGGAATGAGTTAAAGACAATATATATATATATATATAAGGAATTGTGCATGTTGAATTTAGTTCTGTATTTTTTTTAAACCCTGAAATATGTCCCGGGTCAATTTGACCCGAACATTACCAAAGGGTGCGAAATGTGAACATAACACAAGGGTTAAGACTGGGCAGAGAGGAAGTAAATAGATTAACAATTAGTATTGCTGCAGCTGGCTGAGAGCAGAAACACTGTCATCTACAGTTCTGCGACATTTTCTTAAATTAACATTATCCACTTGAAATAGTAGGTTATGCTCAAGAATAAAGATTCACTATTTTAAAGTAACACTTACTAAGATCTTTTAAAAAAACAAAAACGTGTCTTATGTGAGTAGACTACTTAGTAGCCTAGTGTCCCCACTGTGAACTTTTAGTTTAAAACAATTTGTTGTGGTTTGTCTTATTTCAGATAAAGGGAAATCTTATTGCTAAATAATGCAATGATAATTAGTGAAATTAACTCAAAGACACCATATTAGGTCTAAGTATTATAATAGCTTGCAATGTATTCCCCATTGACTCAGCACTACACCATATCCAGGACTACAAAGAAGACAACATTACCAATAACTGAAGCGATGAATGGGAGCAAATCCCTGCAGCCAGATTCAAAATCCTTCCCAATAAATCTGCTTACAGCATACTGTACTAGACTTCTGTTCATATTGTTCATAGGCCTTATATGTGTAGGGTCCTATAGTGTTAATTATTTCCGTAGAATTGGATTGCTCGTATTTTTTTTATTGCATAGGCCTACAACATGTTGTACTTTGGCTTATTGTTTAATGGCAATAACATAGGCTACATATGCATAACGATATTATAAATTCAACTTGTTGCCATTTTTCTTCACCAATCAACAGTGGTGCTTCACCAGATAAAGATCTAGGTACTCAAACTTGGCCATAATCAATTTCATTGTGCACGACAACCAGGGCCGCCCCTGGCCAACTTGTGGCCCCACGCAGTTATATGATGAGGCTCCCTCCACGAGGTGAGGCCCCCCTCCACGAGGTGAGGCCCCACGCAGTCTGCGTGATCTGCGTGTAGGGAGGGGCGGCCCTGACGACGACAGTTGGGGTTAATCCCTCTTAACTTGTGTCTGTACTTACTTATAGATTATGCAATACATTGAAAGTGGCAGGCAGTTTTTGAAAAAAGTGTGAACTAAATAATAGAATGCAGCATTTTCCCCCATAACATGTTTACTAATTGAATAGGCCTATACGTGCAGCAGCCTCCACTGTTTGAAAGTACACTGCTACTTTCTCACTATTGCCTATTGTTCTACCTATATTTTTACTTTTCATATGAACCTCGATAGGCTTATCAGTGATCTACTAAAGTGGTTAAACTTGTTCATTTTTCAGATGAACTGAAAACCGTTGGTGTGTGTTCTGGATACAATCATGTGATTGTTTTTTTATCTCTATTTATTAGTCACTGTTTCAACACTTCCTCGGCCTGGCTTTAGAATCTCACACACAGTCATGTTTAGAGTCGGCTCCTCCTCCAGTGTGTACCAACTTTGGAATGTCAAAGCTGCACTGTCATGTTTAGCTCTCAACCCTCCCTCCCTCTGGTTTTCCAGGGCATTGCTAAAACTTCCTACTCAGGCTCAAGTCCCTCCCTCAAAACGTTCCCCTTTTGCCATCAAAGTTGCTGCATCATGTTAACTCTCAGTCCCTCCTACTGTTTTTTGCTGAAGTTGCCATATCATGTTTAGCTGATGTTTTGAGACTCAAAGGTCCTGTTTTCATTCAGCTGCCGGAGGGAGGAGTCAGAGGAGGATTGTATAAAAGGGAGAGAAGACTAAAGGCACACAGATCACGAACTGTACTGCAGGCTTCACATAGAGAGCAAACAGAGAACCACTGTGGACACATCCAGACCTACAGAACTGAATCAGAACTGGTGAGTAAAGGACATTGCATACAATGCTGTTTTAGCCATACTTTGAATGTAATAAGCTTATGCAGATGTTTTATACCTCTTAAACCCATATATATTGTTGGTGACATATCAAAAGAAGACCTGCAAAAGCACTTTTTTGACATCTGAACTTTTTTCAGAGACAAAATGGAGCAAGAGAAGAAATCTCAGACAACAGCAGAGCAGATGACTGACAGGTGAGGATGAGCTGCTCTGATTCATTGTATCTCTAAATATATTCTATATGCATATTTCACTATCACGCATTGCAATATTCATAATCATTATTACCGATGTAAAACTGTCAACATTTCTAATAAATAAATTAAGAAATTGCACTGAGATTGGATAATGTTATCTGCATTAGTGCTGCAGGGTTTAACAGTATGATTCTAGTTTAGTATGTGCTGACTCTATGCTGTAAAGTTTTATCAGCTACAGTAGAGAACATGTATCAGATAAACATCTATGGGTGCACTCATTTTTCAGTTTATAGCCAGAATGAAAATAGTCTGTACTTTGGAGTCCCATACAGTCTTTACACTTATGTCTACCTTCCTCTCTTAACCATTTTCTGTTCGCAGGGATCTGTCAGAACAAATAAAAAAGGTGACCATGGAAATCCACACCAGGGCAGAAAAAACTGAACTGATGATGAGCTTCATGAGGGGACAAGTCACCCTAGCACAGTACAAGGTAACAACATTTAAAACTATTTGTATAAGATGATTTAACTTTTTATTCATACCTTATTGTATGGTAGGCTACTTGCTACTGTTTGTCTTGAAACCATATTCTCTTTTTCAGCTCCTCCTGTGCTCGCTGTACGAGGTGTACCAGACCTTGGAGGAAGAGATGGACAGGAACTCCAACCACCCTGGTGTCGCACCCATTTACTTCCCCACTGAACTGGCCAGACTGGACGCCATCGCAAAAGACCTGGAGTACTTCTACGGCCGGGACTGGAGAGAGAAGATCGTTGTCCCTGCAGCCACTAAAAGATACTGCCACAGACTCAGACAAGTATGTTCCATTGTATCAAATACATACAATATGTATGTAAATACCACACACAAACAATACATCTTTTTACTCCTTGATAAAACAACTCTCATCCTTGTTTTTTTTCAGATTGGTAAAGAAAACCCTGTATTTCTTGTGGCCCATGCTTACACTCGGTACCTAGGTGACCTGTCTGGAGGGCAGGTCCTGGGTCGAATCGCCCAGAAGTCCATGGGGCTGAAGAGCAGCGAGGGCCTGTCCTTTTTCGCCTTCCCTGGCGTGTCCAACCCCACCCTGTTCAAACAACTGTATCGCAGCCGGATGAACAGCGTGGAGCTGACGGAGGAGGAGAGGAACGGCATGCTGGAGGAGGCTGTCAGGGCGTTCGAGTTAAACATTCAGGTAGGGAGAACTTACAGGACTAACCTTTGACCCTGTTCAGTAAGCCAGAAGCAGCTGATTGACCTTCTTGTTTTCGTTTTACAGGTTTTTGATGATTTGCAGAAGATGCTGCTGACCGTCCCTGAACAGAAGCTGCAGACTTGTTCAACACAATCAGTGAACACACTCCAGATTCTTATCGGCAAAACTGCCCCACTGTTCAGGATGGTAATGGGGCTGTTTGTGGCTCTGGCCACAGTCAGTATAGGACTTTATGCTTTTAGAGAAGATGCATAAAAAGAAATACTTTGTTTGTCTGTTGCTGTTACTGTAAGGCTATGAAAAGATCGTAAGATTTAAAACTCTTGTAAATGAAAAGAATAATGTAAATATTTTGTAATTTCACTGTGAACCAGGTTTAAGATGTTATGTGTAATGATGTTTTGATTCTATTTTCCGTCCAAGACTTTAATCCAATGTTAACTAAATGTGCAATACGTGTGCTTTCAACACAGTAAATATGGAACCTTTTTAATAAAACCTTTTGACAAAGTACATTCCCTCGGTCTTATTGAACAGTGTATAAACAGTTAACTATAACTCCTGTCTGGATTTACCACAAAAAAGAAGACAACACATGATTGTTATGTACAATTTGGTTTCCACTTTTATTGTGGTTTCATGACTTTTTCTAAAATCTTCTCACCAGGGCAAACATTATAAATTAAAACACAAACTGATTGTTAACAGCAGACAGAGCCAATTTCTGACTTTATTTCTGGCCTAATTCATTGTGACACAAATCAGTGCAGTGCTGGTATGTGTTTTCCCCTGGAGGATAACTTTAAGAAAAACAAAGCTCATGTCAGAAATGATTGTACTTCACAGGAATTGGCTAACCTCAACCTTAAAAAGTCACAGCAGCCTGAGTAAATCAGAAATGTCCTCTTATTGTCACTTGAGTGTCTAAATATTTAAAAGCTGAAAAAATGCTTTACATTAATTGTTTGTGCTATAAATGACGCATTCAGTATCAGATACAGTACATGTCTAATACCAAAAGACAAGAGCATTTTTTTTTTAGACCACACCAGGGAGCTCTTATAATGCATCACTTGCTAGAAGAAGGTAATTAAAAACAGCTCTAAATTAAAAACAAAAGGATGGGAACTATTACAAGGTCTATAACTGAGGTTAAGGTTAATAAGGTTCATTCACAACCTCTACCCACAATCTCCTGAAGAACACACATATTAAAACACACAACAATCAACAAGCAAAGGACACACTCAAGGCTTATTTCTTAAACAAAACGCAGCACGAACTCGAGGAAGCAAAGGGAAGGATTCATATTGTGGGAAGGCAATAACATATGCTCATTTATAAAAGCAGCTTCAAAGGAAACCCTACAGTACCAACAACCAGACTCTAGTTAAATAGATTCAATCTTCAAACAACTTCAATCCAAAACGACAACATCCTATATCTTGGTGCTGTAGACAAATGGTCTTGGGACCTCTTAGCATAACTTAGTTCAGAAAAGTTTATTTTTCTGTGTTTTGATGATTGCATATCAGAATAAAAGGCCTGTGTTTTTGTGACATTAAAGGCCACATGTTGCTGAAACCGCAGTTCCTTCCCTAGATCAAAGAGAGATTTCCTGCATTTTTCTCTATTGATAAGACATATTGCACATTACAGCTAGAAAGGGGGAAGTCAATTGGTGACATGCACTCCATAAGAATAGAAATCCCAAATTAAAATAGACTGTCATACAAAAGTGAAATTACTTAACAGTAATATTATGCTACATGTACAGCTTTACATATTCTCCATCTAGCTTGATTTGGCACATTGTCCAACTGTAAAAGGCAAACATCTTCTAAATAGGTGCATATCAGACTTAAGCAATGTACTGTATGGCACAGTTTTTCTACAGCTGTCTGCATCTAAAACACCCTTCAAACATCTGCATAATGTCACATCACCGAGGCTACCTGTTTGAACAGCTAGGACAGTGTCGGCTATAAAGGTGCAGTTACTTTCAGGCAGGAGCGGCCAGCATGGGGCGGCTCAGATGGTTTCGTACGAGGACAGCAGGGCTGCGTCGACCGGCTCCATGCAGGAGGGGCAGGTGAAGGAGCGCATCAGCCAGGGGTCGATGCAATCCACGTGGTAGATGTGAAGGCAGGGCAAGAACCGGATGGGATCGCCATACTCAAAATCCATCATGCAGATCACACACCTGGTGGAGAGAGAAACAGGAAGTTCCTAGTCTTTAAGTATTAAGATACATTTTGAACTATTAGTTTAAATCAATCACTTTAACAAGTTATCAGACAAATGATGTAGACCCATGTAAACTTCAAGACGCCTTGCTGATATTTAATATATCCTCATTAATCAAAATGTTCATTTTAACCAATGCGAGTACAATTTGTGTCAAACAATACAAATACCAACAACCCCTACAAAATGAAAATTAAGCTAAGGTTTGCTGAAGTGAGCAGATGATGCAATTGGTATTTTGGGGTACATTGTTTATTTTTTTCCATTTTTTAGAAGGCCTCATATTGCAGGCTGTGGTGTAGAAGTGTAGATTATCGTCACAGTGGTGATGTAGGCTGTGCATCTGTTCACGTTCTGATCTACATTGTCAATGTAAGTCCCCTGCTGTACAATATGTTGAATAAAGTATCATTATGTTGACTACAATCTTGTTTTTTATTGGTCAATAAATATATATATACTTGTATACTAGCTGAACATGACAGGATCATGTTCTGACCAAAGGCTCAGAGAGGAGCTTTATTTAAAAAAAATGATACTAAATACACTCGGTCATTGTGTTTGACCGAAACAAACACAACAAAGAGAGAAGGTTACAAAAACATAATAATGACATTTTAGACTCACTCTTTAACTTTCTTGTCAGTGGGATCGGAGCCCGGGTTGAAGATGCCTTTAGGCAGGTGATGGATGAGGCCGATGCGCTGGGCGATGCGGACCTGCTCCTCCTCCGTCAGCTGGTAGGCAGAGCGACTCTCCCCTGGGTTGGGATGGTACACTGGCACATGCTGGCTGCGCTCCTGGAGAAAAAAAGGAAGAGCAGACAATACAAGTCATTTATGAAGATGCCATTGCATAACAACAACATGTTTCTGGCACCTTGCCATGAATCAGCAGGGAGACATCATGAATGGTGATGGTCATGTGCTTCTGTCAACACCAGGAGAATTACCATCTTACATTAATGGACCAATCAAATAAAAGCACTGATATTGGAGATTGTGGGATCATCGTGTCCTGTATACTCATCTTAATCATTTATGTTAGTGTTTTACATGATATATTTGGATTCATATGCTGCATCAACGTGTATGTTGAATATGTTGTCCTTTTTAACTGTTGTTTAATGTTGTGCAAAGTTTAACTACTTTATTAACTGTCTGGTTGTTACTTCTAGAGCAAGGCATCATTTTTAGATAGATTATCATAATATGTTTGTAGCTAAGGACTAGAGCTGTCAGAACATTGAACAAAGTAAACATTCGCATCTTCGATGTCTACAATATTATGTATGAGTATGTGTGTATGTATGTATATATATGTATATTATTTGGATGGTGAGAAACGGCCTCCCTGTTTGTATCACACAGGGAAATCGAAAATAAAGTTTACTAAATATTAGTAAAGTTGTATGTATAACATTGCATTTAATAAAAAATACTCAAGTGATAAATTCCCCTGAGTTAAGTACTTGGGTAAATGTACATAGTTATCTTCAGCCACTGGCTGAGAGCAATAACACAGAGTGATTGGTAGACTTTATTTAATGGAGGTGCCATGCTTCTGATCCCCGGGGTGCAGTGGCGCTGAGCCCCGGCTCCTCACCTGGTAGGGCGGCGGAGGCTCCCCGGGCAGACTGCCCCCCTCAGATTCGTTCAGCAGCGACAGGTCATCCGCACCTTGTGAAAACAGGCAGTTACCCATTAAAGTGAACTGACCACCATGAGAGACTTCACTCTGAGGGGCGGACACTGAGCAGGAGTGAACTAGGTAATGTCTGGACGAGTTGTCGGTAGCTTAGCTCGCTGTTAGCTGATAGTTTGCAGTCATTGCATGAGGAGTTTGACGGAAACACGACGGGAGACGCGACGTGGCTCTCTAGACGGAAGAAACGCCTTTTTTTTGTTACACAGAGGATGGATGAACAATTAGTGACATATATTTTAACCGTCACACCGAGGTGTTTAAAGTGAGTCTGGTTATGTGTTGCCTTCTTGTGTTAACCATGGATGTAAACACAAACCGGAAATACCGTCATCAGGAACTTTGCACAACACTACATTTCCGCCTCAGACTTTCAAAATAAGTGCTTTAAACTTTTAGCATTTTTAAGCATTATCATTTGGCAGTGGTGGAAAAAGTATCCAGAATCTTTACTTGAGTAAAAGTAGTAATAACATACTCTAAAATTACTCAATTGCACGGTACTGCATCGAGAAGAGGTACTAAGTATGTTAAAGTATTTTAGTACAATTGGGAAAATGTACTTAAAGCTGGCATTCTGAACTTAATTCCAATTTATTTTCTGTGAACCCACTCCTGGTTTTAGTTACTTAAATATAATATTGGATGGTTTTAATCTATACCAAATCATCATATTTAGAACGTTTTTCTTAGAAGTGTGTGTGAAAATCTGAAATTATAAAGTTATTTGTAAATACATCTGTAAAATAAATGTAGTTGGTTAAAAATTACAACATTTGCTTCCAAAATGTAAAAGAATTAGGGCTGGGACTCGATTAAAAAAATTAATCTAATTAATTAGAGGCTTTGTAATGAATTAATCGAAATTAATCGCATTTTTAATCACATATACATATTTGACCTGAGAACAGTGAGAAGCAATTTTTTTCACATGGATTTTAGTATACCATTAGGCGCATTCACACCGCAGTACTTTTCCCACAAAGTATCATGAGAACTTAGTTCATGAGAACTCTTTGAACTTGGGGGTGGATTAGGCAAATGAAGCCGCTGACGTCACTTCTTCTTCTTTGGGTTTACTGGCAGGCCGCAAACCACTTCACGGCGTATACTGCTGCCCAAAGTCCCCGGCCGGAAGTCCCCGGAGTTGGGGACTGGCTTCAGTAGAAGCTGCTGGGAGTCCCAGCAGCTTCTACTGAAGCCTTCCGAGTAAATCGCCAGAACGCCGACACCTCCTCATCTCCACCGCTCCCATGTTTTATTTTGTGTTGCCATAAGTTAGTCTCTCTGCGTTTCTGCGCTGGACTAATGCTAATAATGCTAATGCGAGGATATGGCGACAATGGCGGCTTCACAAAACTTTTTGGGAGTTTTACAGGGCGTGGTTTGCAATCATCCCAGCCAATCAGACATATAGCTCTCTTCTCACAAGAGAGCCGTACGAAAGTCCCTGCTCTCTAGCAGGGACTTTCGTGGGGTGAACTAATTTTAGTACCGGCTCTTTTTGGTGTGAACGCGATAAAAGAGGCTAACGTCCACGCTAGCTGCTATATGTTTTGCATTGAGGTGATACTTGAGGCTTGATGTGCTGCGGTGATATGCGAATTCCTTTTTGCATAATTTGCCCACAACCGTGCTCTTATCGACGCTTCCATCCGTCCGTTTTTTAAAACAACATTTCCCACTGTTGTTCACTGTGGTTTGTTGTTGTCTGAAGTCATGAACGTTAGTTGGTGCTCCAGTATAATCGGTACGCCTGAAACTCATCCAGTGAGAAACGTTCCGCGGTGCAAAAATAAGTGCGATTAAAATGCGTTAATTTTTTTAACGCGTTAATTTTTGTGTAATTAATTAATCTTAATTAACGCGTTAAAGTCCCGGCCCTAAAAAGAATAGAAAAAGCAAAATAAAATGAAAATACTCAAGTTTTATTTTTTAGAGAGTTTGTACAAAATACTATATGACAATATGAAAGTTATTATAGGAAACCATATAAAGGCCAACTCATAACATTCAGAGGTTAGCTAATTGAGCAATGATCATTGTTGTATCACCTTGTACAATGTGTTCTGGTCATTCTGGCAACACTTTGTTTTGATATGGCCATGCCAATAAAGCTTATTTGAATTGAAATATATTTAATTAAGCAGGGCAATGTTGATGTACTGTTTATTGTGTGCTTTAATGATATGTCTCTACTCTGTTTAACTGAGCTTTGTGACTTTACAAAAAAAAAAGTCAAACACAGGCTCAGGCTGACTCCTGTAAAAACAAATAGGCACTTTGAATTATTATTACATTACATTACGATTACATATAATTTAGCTGACGCTTTTATCCAAAGCGACTTACAATAAGTGCAAACACCATACAAATCAAACTCCGAATTATCTCTATGATTGTTGAAACACAACTGTGTGTTAATATTCCCCCAAAACTGTTCGCAACCCAGTTAATATTGACCTGTATAATACCGTTTTTGCCAATATTTTAGGGTATTTTTTCCATCTACAAATACACATGGCAGTCCGATTTTTCTTATTTGTTTTACTCTGAAGTTGTACAGGATGTTAGTTTTCTCGGACGGGATGTGAAGTAAATTAGGAGCTAACATGAAGACTGTGAAGGCACGCCACTGTTATTTTGTTTTGTTTTAACATTTGTTAGTGGAGAGAAACTTTTGTTCTGACCTCTGTGTGTTTCGCCTTGCTCCACTTCCGTCCAGTGCTGATTCTGAGACTTTAAGGACTGATAAATGGTAAGAGAAACAGGCAACGCATGACATAGTAATAAATACACTGTCCTGATGGTAACACATATTTTGTTCTTATACATACCCTTGTAGGCCTAGCGAAATATTTAAAATGTGGGATAGTTTACCTTACCTGCTCATTTCTGCGGTGCTGCATGGGTGTGTTTTTTTTTACGATAATATGCATATAGGACTAGGTGTCGCCATATTTACTGTATTACATACATCTTAAAATCATAGCTACATCCACCACCAGTAATCCTTTAATCTGAGTGTTTAAAAACTCAAATTCGATGACATTTCCCGTTCATTTTGAACTCCCCACATTATGATCTGATGCCAGCTAAGTAACGTAATGTAAATCTGAATTCCTTTCACTCAAACTCACCCACTCGGAAAGTGTATTTTGTTAATAGAGCACAGCAGTCTTGTTATGGTTATCGTCTTGGCTCACACACATGCAAAGAGAAATAGGTTAAAGCAAGTGTTTATTGACAAAGTCAGATCCTGCAGGTAAATGCTGGAGTGCTCAGTTTATTTATTTGTGTTTGTTTGTTGTGCCTAATAACGAAGCATGTTTATTCATTAGCTCTGTCCAGAGGCTAATAGTAGCCTACCAGTTTAGTCTTGTATACAATTGTGGAGTTGGCTTATCCTAATGTCAGTCATTTACAACACCATTATACAACTATAACACCTCTGTTGTGCAATATGACTTATACGCTTTACGATTATTATCATTACTGGCTGCTGTCTCTTAGTTAGACTATTCAATTTATTTAACAACATCTGTAAATATCAGGTGCAATATATTATTTAATTTCACTACAGTTATCTGGATGCTATCACACTACTTTCCACATGCTATTTGTTTGTTTTTAAATACTTGCACAGGTACTTATTGTTGTCCATCTGGATGTGTACTTTTGTAAATGGTAATCTGTGTAATCTTTAATATTTTGTGCATGCCTCTTATTGAATATTTAGCTATTTTTGCTGTAAAAATGTAAATGTCGCCTTTGTGCAACTAATACAGTTATTCTAATTCTGATTTAGGCAACAGCTCCACCACCACCACCACTCCCTCCTCCACCCTCTGTGAATCAGGGCATTTGTTGCTGTCCTACACCGTTCCCTCAGTATGCTGCAATACCATTTGTCGCCCTTCCAGTCCAAGAGACAAGTCCTTCACCAGAATCTTTACATTATGCAGAGGTAAGTGTGTCCTCAAAAATGTGGAGTTGATGGTACGAGACCCCTACATTTGTGTTAAATCTTTCAACTTCCAGGGTGAACCAGCTCCACCACTGCTGATAGATCAAAATGGACCCCAGTCTCCTCCAAAGGAAGGACAAGAGGACAATCCCTCTGATAATGAAGAGTCCCACCCAGTGCAGGAAACTGAGCCTACATCATAGGTAGGTAGGTCGTTTTTAGTTACATACTAATTTCCCTTTTCCAAAACACTAAAAAACACTTACTTTCTTCTCTTTTAGTCCTAAACATAGAGGAGAACGCTGATCAGCCATCCAGAAGGTCCAGGCTGGAGACCAACTGTCCTACAGCTCTAAAAACTAAAACCTGCATTTACGGGTTCCTAAAAATGCACCGAAACACTGATAAATGGTACTGTTGAGTGAGCACTTTGCTTCATGTTGGGGCAAAAGATGTTCAAATATGTTAATTCAGCCTTCATTTATTTTCATCCAAGTTATTTGCAGCTACATTGATCATGTAGCGCTTTGCTTTTTCATGCACATCTTTGCCAAATACTACAAATACAAATACTACGTAAAACTCTTATTCTTAAAAAAATACATAATGATAATTTTTACAGACTGTTACAAACTATTATGTTTAATTATATGGACATGGGCATTTATGAATGAGGATATTTTTTTTGGTAAAATGTAGGGAATTGTAGAATGAATTATTTTTGTAGCTTGACCTTGAGCTTTAAGTCAATACATGTTGATCTCTGCAGCTTCATTTTTAGCACTTTTTTGTCTATCTCCTCTGAGCTTGTTTAATGGAAGCATGTGCAACAGGGTACTAAATAGTGAGAATACTTAATTCACAGTCATTAAGCTTAGAGTACTTGGATCAAATGTACAGGTACAATTGGTACAATTCTTTTATTTTAATTTTTTAATGTTTATTTAAATGAACATTTTGAAACAAATTGTATTGTCACTTTCCCGATTGTTTTAATAAACTTAACTGAAGCCTGCTTAAAAGATTCAGTTTCCTTGCTTGTCTGCTACAAAGAAAACTTAAAAATACATTAATGTTAATGTTTTAAAATACTTATGCCTACATAGTTATAGATATAGCTACGATGAAGGTAAAGGTCAACAGCCATGCTGCTGCTCTGTGAGGCTGTAGCCTAGCCATATGCTAAAGTTAGCCTGCCAACATGTTTACAATGGTCATTTGGTAGTGTAGCAGGTAATGTTAAACATTATGTAATAGCTCATATTTATACTGCACTAGGTACACGAAGACAAGTTTACTGACATTTATTATTAGATTGTTGTATGTAAACTATATTGTGATTATTGTGACATACATAATAATATTAATATGATATGCATCTGCAGAGCTGATTCCTTAGTTCGTCAATAGTCTACAGAAAGAAGGACAAGGCACAACAAGACGATACAGTCAAGAACATCCTTTTTATTCAATCGGGTGCTGCTCTTCTCAAACTGTGTTTTTCTTCTTATGGAAAAGAAACTGTAATTAACACATGCATTTCACCTAGAGCTCTGGGGGTGTTCTCACAAAGAAGTGGTGCTGCGCTGAGAGCTTAGACAGAGGCGTAGAAGAGCTGGGAGTCAGGGGGGCTAAGGGTGCTGCTTTATACACCGATAACCATACACGATTAAAAAGATAAAGAACAAAAAATAAACAGAACAAAGACACGGAGCAGTCCAGCATGAGGTGGTCAGAGGAGAAACATGGAGGGACTTCCCTGAATCCTCAAAATAACTCTGAGAGATCAGGTTCATGCTGGCCTTTTATCTTTATGGTTGGTGTGTTGTAAATGGTTAATACTGCTGAGGGTTTCTCTGTGTGAGACCCACCGTGAACAATAATACTTCACTTTAAAAGATTGGTTTAAGTGGATATGTCCTGGAAATGCAAACCCCCCTCTTTCAGCCCCGTGTAGGACAAGTCCGCTCATAAGGTGCTTGTAGCTTTCATTTACAGTCCAAAGGCATTCTCTAAGAGAGCCTAAACGACAGCATACCCTGATAGCAAAGATTCAAAGAAATCCAAATTAAAATTAAACAAAAAAAAGGGAGGGGGGGGGATAAACAAAGGTGAAAATAAATAGCTAAAACAAAAGAGCAAACTCTTTTCCTAGTCAAAGCAGCCCCTTTCCAACATCCCAAAGCAGTTCATCCAGCCCTCCATACCCCGTTAATCTCCGTAAATCACCCTCAACCCAAACCCCTGAACCCGTCTTCCTTTCCTAACCCACCCAAGGACACCCCCAAAAGCCCGTCAGCGTAATTTGTTCACTTACATTAGCTGTTGAATGGAGAAGCTGAAGAAGATGGGTATGGTAATACAATGTGAAGCATACAGACAAGAATAACATGTGAGCTAACTGCATTCTGCTCAGACAAAAGTTTTTCGGCAATATTTTTTTTTCACCCTCCCATCAGCGGAGAGGATAGGAGAGAGAGAGAGACGGAGAGTGACGGACACACAGTTACAGACTACTCCAGTGTCTAAGAGAAAACAGACAGTGGAGACAGAGGGGAAGAAAAAAGCAAGAGCTGAACGAGAACAAGTTTTTTTGCCTTTTCAAAAAATGTTTTTTTTTTCATCATTTATCAATAAAAAGTAAAGAACTAATTCACACCAGTTTCCTTTTGTACTATATATATATATATATATATATATGTATATATATATACAGCTTTGAAAAGGAAGAGAGGATATAGGGGAAGTACAATGGAGGGGATTCATTTCGAAGGCAGGAGGAAAAAAGTAGTCCCTGAGTGCTTAGCAACCTTTTGCCTCCTCGCTGCACTCAGGGGCAACCTGCTACCTCGAGCCGCTTCGGGAAAAAAAGAGGGGCGATCTGGATTACAAAATGGAGTCTGTGAACAAAAGGCACTTTTAAGGGACAACCTTTAACTGCTGGGAAACTATACACTACAGCACAAGCACTATAAGAGTCATTTACAGAGGAGGGGGTGGAACAGGGGAGAGGCTCACCTGCTGCCTGCTTCAAAAATCATTTAGACTTCAGGTTTTTTCCTGATTTTACAATAATGTTGATGCCCCTTTTCCGTTATCTGCGCACAATACAAAAGGTCTATCTTAATACTATTTCCATTTCAAGTGGGTCTTAACACAACCTGCTGATTTGTATTCAGCTCTAGCTTCAGGAACATATCAATATGATCATAGGGATACAATATTTCTGGATGTGAAGCATCTCCCGCACTACAGGGGTAACAGGGTTTCTGCTGGTGAGTTTCAGGCAGGGCACAGGTAAATCATTTGAAGTGTCTGAACACAATAGGTTTGTTTTTGTTTTTCTAAAGGTTGAACCAAAATGCCTTTTGTGTCACAACCTTAAGGAAAAGGAACCTCTCCCCCCACTCAATACAAATAGAAGAAGAATAAAAATAGAGAGGAATAATGCTGTTTCCTAAATGGTCTGGTATTTTTGTTCATTACCATTCATTTACAATAATTCTGAATGTACTTTATACTGTTAAAGCACCAGTTTTTCATCTGATAGAGAATAATCTTTTCTCAAGTTATGTAGATTTTTTTCCTTCAGCCCTCCCACATTTGTATAAACAACTGATTACACATAAAACATTAAAAAAGAGACAAAGGAAATAAAAACAAATACCCCCAACTTACAAAGACTAGGATTTTTCATGGCCCTCTAGTTTAGAGTCCCGGAGCACATGGACTTGAAACAAATACATTTTTTTTCACTTTTCTCTTAGCTTTCTTAAAAATCTCTAACAGACAAACACAATGATCTACCCAATGCATTGCACGTGGCTCAATCGACACATATTTTTCAATAATAATACTTTCCATCAAAAAACACTTTTTTTTTCTTCTTCAAACCTACTGTCGATTTTTGACATGTTTATCTAGGTATTATAATGCTGCTCTGCAGATGGCGTGTGTCATTCGATTCGTACTGGTAACAGTAAGGTGATGTTACTGAAACAGGTTGGGGGGGGGGGGGGGGAAGGGAGTCAGAAAATAACTAGACTGCCAATCAGCTCATGTAGTAAAAGGTAAAAAGGAGCATATATCATAAATATATATGTATAAGATCTCTCTCTGTGTCTTTACAAAAAAAGTTTGCAGTCTTCTATAAAGATCTGTCGTAGGCCAATGGTTCCACATGCACCAACGCTACCATTCCCTGTAGCTTTAGCTTATATGTGGGAAGAGAACCTGAAGTTATTACTAATTGCATGAAGGGAATACAGAGGCACTTTCATATATTGTTATAGTCTTATTATATGGTTTTAGTACATAGAGCTAATGTTACTAGAGGCTGAGATTAGGGTCTCAGCCCTGCTTACAATCCCTGCAAAAAAGAACCAACAGCTAGGCAGTCCAGTTATTTTGTGAGGTCGGCTTTTGTTGGATTGTGTCATGATGAAAATAATACCAATAGCAAATTTCAATGTGAACATATAAAAAATATCTCAAATTAAAAAGACAATTCTTAAGTCAATGAAAAACCATTAACAAAGGCAGTTTGGAGAACCAAATATAAAGGATGCCCTTTATTATATTATGTCAGGTTGTTGGTGGTTTTAGTGTGCATTTTACGTGTGTTTGTGTGTGTGTGTGTGTGTGTATGTGTGTGTGTAGTCCTCAGGATTTCTCTGTGAGTGGACTAAGGGATAAAGGGTAAAGCAATGCAAGGGATGCATGTGATGAGTTGTTGTTACTGTGCTGTCCAAAAGTGAGAGATTTGAGAAACTGCTGTTACCGTTTCGCTGAAATCTGAGCATGATACTAAACGTATTACTGCAAACTAAAGAAAAAGTGTTATGGCATGCAAGAAAAAGTTAAAACAATCCAAGTGGGACAAAAACCAAAAGCAAATCTGGCAAAAAAAGGAAAATCGCAAGAAAACACCTAAAAACAAATTGAAAGCTAATAATATGAATCTGATGCTGCATGTGCATAACTGTAAATTAAATTCCTTGTCTAACAAGATGATGTTATGGGTGGTTATGTGACAGACTGTTCTGGAGACGATGGTCTGTGGTATACTGTCTGCAAGCATGCGTGTGTGTGTTTATGTGTGTGCTGCATGTTTCAGGGCCTAGACTTAAGTATTAGCCACATCCCTGCGGAGGCCGCCAGCCTCGACTCACTTCCCTAATCGCTTGTCTGACCATCGATGTGCAATACTGTTCATCCCTTGTTAAAAATTAATAGTGCATAGGTGATGGGACGAAAGAGCACGTGTAGAGTTAGTGTTATGACTGACTGTCTGTCTTGTGTTCACTCGCACGCACTCGCCTCATGGCTATCACTTCTCCCACAGCAGGACGCCCTGATACTTTGACAGGTAAACAAAGACCAGCCACTTAGTGCATATATGTCACACCATTTGATGGTGTCACCATGATTGGCCAATCAGAAATGAAAAGAGGTTCAGGGCTGAGCGAATTGAGCGGCAGAGTGTGGCAACACACACACAGGCATGTGGCTGTGGATGACGGTCTGGACCCTGGGCAATGCTGGGGGGGAGGGGGTGGGGTCAGGTGGGATTTGCACCTGGGGGGTAAGTGCATGGCGAAATACAAAGATAGGGATGTGTGCAATTTTTGTCAACTTGCACATACGATTTAGACTTTTACCACTAACATTTTTGGATCTCCTGGCCAATGCATGGAGTTTCATTGTGGAGACAACAAAATTAAAAAAGGAAATCATAAAACAAAAGAAACAACAAATGTATAATGGTCAGTTTGCCATATTGTGTTTCATTTCTGACATTTTGTGGTGTGTGAGAGACAGTTCCTCATCTTCCTCTTCTTGCATTCTGAGCCTGTCCATCTCATTGAAGCGTCCTGCGTAGAGGAGGGCGAACGTTCCTGTTCGAATTCTGTTGGATTGGGAGTCCTCTTGTGGGGGGGGGGGGTCTGTAGTAGTACTTTGAATAGTGTTGGCTAGAGAGAAAGACCTTTTAGTGTCAGCAGTCTGTTCTTAAGC